CGCCCTGCCTGCTCAGGAGCTGACAGCCAGTATTCCAAAGGCACCCCTCTTTCCAGAGCCCATTCAAGGCCACATAATTTCTAGGCAAGTGAATTTGAGTTCCCATAAAACGCTACAGGACCCAGCGGCCTCACGGTCACTGCTCACAGCACCTCTGAGCACTGCACCTGGGTGACGCCCAGCTGCCCGCAGACACTCCTGGAGGCTCTCAGCACGTCCCGGGCAGGGACCTCACATCTGTCACACAGTGCCCAGAGCCTAAACGCCAGATCCCCGCTCTGAGCCCTTCAACTTGTAACCACACAGAATGCTCCCCAGGCCAAGTCCTCGAGCCTGGGCTGACAGGCCTGCAGCCTCAGGGAGCAGCACCCAGAGCGAGGTCTCAGGTGAGGCCAGGCCTGGAGGCTTTCCCAGGACACTTGCTATTTTCAGTCCAAGACTAGGTGGCCCACTAGGACCACTCAGCCCGAGGAGGGAGACGGCACTGGTTTGGTTCTAGGAGCTGAAAATCACTTTGATGTCTTTCTTCTGTCATTTGCAAGCTGCTGGGGCCTGGAGCAGCAGATTGGAATCTCAGCTGGGAGGGCTGTGGTGCTACCTCACACTGGCCCCGGCCCCTGGAGGGAGCCTCAGAGCTGGGGAGACGCGGGGTGGGGTCCCATGCCCCGCCCGGCAGCGCCCAGCAGGGAGGGAATGGATGGCCTGAGTGGGGGAATGGGTCCGGGGTGGGGTCCCATGCCCCGCCCGGCAGGGCCCAGCAGGGAGGGAATGGACTGCCAGGTGGGGAATGGGTCCGGGGTGGGGTCCCATGCCCTGCCCGGCAGTGCCCAGCAGGGGAGGGAATGGACTGCCGGGTGGGGAATGGGTCCTGTGGAGTAGCCCCGACCAGAGGGCGCCTGGCTGATAAGGGACCTGTGAGCAGTAGCTCTGCCTCCCTGAGCCTCAGCTTCCCATTTGTAAAAGAGCGAGGGGCTCAGAAGCCCAGGGGGCGCCTTCTCCCACCATCCGCAGGGGGTCCACCGGCTGCGAGGGCCGCCCCTGCGATGCCCAGCAGCCCCTGGGATGCTCAGGCCCAGGACAGAGAGCCTGGTTCAGCCACCTGAGGGGACAGTTAAGGGGAGGGAGGCTGGTTACAGCCCAGAGACCCCTGGCACTGAGCCAGGCCCTGGAAACTTGGGGTTGGTGGTCTCTTGGGCCCCATTTGGGCTCGAACTTAATCTCTGTAGTTTCGGGGAAGGTCAGAAAGCCATCCTGGCCCAGCCCCTCTTACCCATGCTCCCCAAACCACTGAGCATTAACTGCAGGGATGCTTCGAACCTGACTGGCAGATGCACACTTCTCCCCAAGGCCGAGGCGGAGGGTGGGTGCCCAGGCTCATCTCCAGGGCCTGCCGGCGGCCGGGCCTGACTTGGGCCATGGTGAGCAGCAGCCCCAGAGGCAGCCCCGGGACTCCCAGCTCTGAGCAGCCCGTCCGGAGGCCACCCGGGGTTGGCCTTGCCTAATGCAGCACCAACCAGCAGCAGCCATGCTCCCAGAGCCACCTGTGCCCCCGGGCCCTCGCTGATGGTCCTCCCAGCACCCCCTAGGAAGGCAGAACTGAACACAAGACCACACGGCCGGACAAGCACAGAAGCCGTTTGCAATAAATGCTCGCTTTCCTCCCTCCCCACAGGGCTTAGCAGCCAAAGGCCAGGCAGCTGCTCAGGGAGCCACCTGGAGTGGCCACGTGCCGGGAGGGTCAGGGCGGGCCAGGCAGGGACATCGCTGGGGGCAGGCCCAGGAG